CAGCTGTGCACCATCAGTGATCTTGTATCTAAAATTCCAAACTTTACTTTGTATTTTCTTAAAGCTTTCCTCACCATAAAATACAAGCATTCCTTTGGGTGGATATTCCTTTGAACCTTATCACTGTTGCATTATTTTCATAAAATGAGCTCCAGGTATTTCCAGATAGAATGGCAAAGTCGGGGGTTGGGGAGGCAGAAGTGAAATAATAAAACATCAGAAAGAGAATCAAAGAGAGCTTTGAGGTTAAAAAATGTGGAAAATTAAATACAGCAACAGAAAGGATCATTCCGGACTGACCCCGAGAATATGATCATTGACATTGGACTCCTTAGGCAATGTGAACAAGGAATTTTATAAAAATTCCCTCACTGACGAGTGTTCAAGTATGGGGCTCTTGCTTCTCTCCAGCATTGGATGTGTGCTGCATCTGAAGTGACAGATTGAGTAATCCCCTTTCAGGGATGAGTCTCTCTTCTTTAACATTGTGCTACTGGAATGAGGTGCCAATTTGCTTACAGTTTGGATGTGCTGGAGCTACCCTGAGACGTCATGCCAGCGTTATCATTCATTCTTGTCCATTTTGTCTAAGACATATACGTTTAGACTTTTGCATCAAAATCAGCTGAAGTGCTCTATGTACACAGATGCTAGACACCCCACCACCTTTCTTTGGAGTCAAATAAACCCATTTAGCAAATCTGCAAAGCCCTAATAAAATAGTGGAGGAGCTAAAAAGCGAGGGTGGTATGAACGGCACGTGCTGGGCTTCCCAGGTGCATTCCCCACCCTCTGACTCTCTGGCACCATTCCTCACTGTTCTAACACCACTCACACTGCTCGTTTACTTGGGTAATCTAGACTCCAGCTACTGCAGGCCGTGTGGCTCCAGTTTCCTCTTAAGGCTCCCCAGTCTAGTTCTGTTTCTGGAATATAACAAGTGCTCAAGCAATTGAGTAAAATAATAAATTAGTGAATAAATCTAGGGAAGAGCTACTTGTGCATTTAAAGGGGGGGGGGGAGGTAAGAAGGACAGGTGTTCTGGGAGGTTCCTCCAGGCTTTTATGGTAAAGGCTTGATGCTCACTGGTCGTGCCATTGATAGACCGTGGAAACATCTGAGAGGCCCTAATCACTGAGGTGTTTTCTCACAGAGGGTATATCTATCCCTAACCTCTTCTCAAATTTCTGCTGTCCAACCACCTTTGCTTTCCGCCATGACGCTTGGCTTCACTTGGCCTCAGTGGGACCGACTGACCATGGACCCAATCCTCCAAAATGATGAGCTAGCATAGCCCGCCCATCCTTCTCTCCTTCCTTCCTTCCTTCCTTCCTTCCTTCCTTCCTTCCTTCCTTCCTTCTTTCTTTCCTTCCTTCTTTCCTTCCTTCCTTCCTTCCTTCCTTCCTTCCTTCCTTCCTTCCTTCTTTGCTTTCTTCTTCCTTTCTTTTTTTTCCAGTTATTTTTTCCTCATTTATTTTGTCATAAAGATGGGAAGTTTGTAGCACAAATCTTAACAGGTCTTATTAATAAAAACAAACCCACAGTCAGGTATTGGAGTGAATGCTGAAAGATCAGAGAAACAGAACAGGACACAGCCTCACCTTGCCAATTCCTCAGCTGATCCTGTTTCCTCAGACTAGATGACTCTGATTCCTCATTCAACTGGATCTCTGGTGAACTGCTGCTCAAAAGACTAAAAGCTAAACCAGGCTCTAGTTCCTGGTCCTCATGCCTTATATACCTTTCTGCTTCCTGTCATCACTTCCTGGGATTAAAGGCATGTGTCACCATGCCTGGCTGTTTCCAGTGTGGCTTTGAACTCACAGAGATCGCAATGGATCTCTGCCTCTGGAATGCTAGGATTAAAGATGTGTGTGCCACCATTTTCTGGCCTCTATGTCGGTCTAGTGGTGTTCGGTTCTCTGACCCCAGATAAGTTTATTAAAGTGCACAATATATTGGGGGACACAATATCACAATAGAAGTTGACTAGCATAAAAAGTAAACAAACTTTCTTGCCAGCAAGATCAAGCAGTGAAACAGTCATGCCTGTCAATAATGATCAGACTCCTACTATGTGCCAGTCATTGTCCTAAATATTTTAAATATGGTAAAAATTCATCCAGAGAACTGCATAAGTGGAAAACCACTACCATATTGTATGAAGAATAGAGAAAAGTCCAATAATTTGCCGCAAATCACATTATCTGGCAAGGCAGGACAGATGAAGACAGGAGCCAGCAGAGCTGGGTTCCTGAGCTGGTATTCCAAGACTAGCTTCATGAATTACACATGGAGATGGAGTCAGGAGTGGCTGATGTGGCCAGGCATGTTCCTACTTCTGTGGGTGTTTACATGTAAACAAGAATGCTGACCTGAACATTTCCCGCCTTGAAAGGAGAAAGCAAGAGAATAGCCTTTTTCTTCATCATCCATTTGATTCTGGCAAATCTCAATCAGTATTTCACCTAGAAAATTCTTTGAATGTGAAAATAGACAGACAGACAGATAGATAGATAGATAGATAGATAGATAGATAGATAGATAGATGAACAAATAAATAATAAATAAATAAATGGAGAATCATTCTTTATTAGAAAAATAAATTTATGTGAAAGCAGGTGTTCTGTGTGTTTAATTTTCCAGCTGTATATTTAAATTTTCTCCTAGACCTTTAATTTCATACTATAAATTTCAATACAACCACTATAGTGTTTATGTATGTTCTAAAACTATAGAAGGACATGGCACAAAGGAACTAATTCATCTTTACTGGTGCCCATGAATCCTTAGAAGAATTAAGTTTAACCAAATCTCTAAGGAAAAATAGCAAGAATAATATTATAAGGTAAAAATAGAGAATAAAAACTTTTCTTGTTAGAAACAAGGAGTCGGGTGCAGGATGATACCCGTCCAATGGATATGAAATGTTATTACTTAGTAAAGAAATAAAAGAATAATAAGTTTAGAAAATTAACTATCAAATTACATTTTTTAAAGAGGGACACTTAAAATGTTGATGAACAAATATAAGATGATGACTCAGGGGCACTAAAAGCAGGAAATGTGTGGGTTCTACTCGATAGTACAATAAGGACTGGGGATTTCACTTTATCGCCATTGTCGTTAAACCACAGAGTGCTGAAGAGGCAGCTGTGATACAACCACAGTAAAACCAGCCTTTAAAGACGTTTCTAATTAAATCATGAAAAATCAAAAGAGGAAACTGCTCAGGGAAGCCATTTTGAAGACCTTATTAATGGTGCAGTCACGGAGAGGGCTGTATTAGATTTGAACTAGCAAATGCCAATGCTCATGTGCAAAGTGCCAGGCAAGTATGTCACACTCCTGGAAACCCTTTTCTTTCAAGGTAAAAAGTTTCTATTTTGCTCTTGTTTTCTCCAATATCAGGATCTTTTGGTTCAGTTAAATTCTAGTTATAGTACTTTGGCATTTGATTTCATGCTATAGTTAACCTCTACCTGGGTATGTACACACACTATTTGTAGCCGTTTCTTGCCTGGCACTTTGCAGTGTACCTGTGTGAAGAATTCATTCAATGAGTTTGGCTCTTCTTTTCCAGAATAATGCCACTTAAGTGTTCATTGTTTAATGGTTGAATACTTTAATACTTTTTAATTAATTCTGATAATTTTCTCATATATATGTTTGGTTTCAAAGCCAACTAAATTCCTTGTCATATTTCACTTTCTGCAGTTTTCAACCTCAAAGTACCCTGTAACTCCTTTTTCAATGTTTTAGTCCTCTTCTTCTTTCCTATCTCTCCCACAAACTCTGTATTTGGAAAGCCTGACATGCATGAATATAAAAATAGATTTTTCTGGAGATCCTTCCTTTGTCATTGGGGTCCAGGTAGTAAGGCAGAACATATTTCAGACATATCAAAAGATTTTTATAGATCAAAATTAAAGTTTTCACTTTGTGAAAATAGTCTTTTAATCTCTTAATAGTTATTAAAATAAAATTCTTCCAAATTTGTAATTAACAGTAACTGTCTTTAGTATTTTTTATGTTGCTGAGATAAAACACCCTGACAGAAGCAATTTAAAGTGGACAGGTTTATTTTCTCTCATTGCTCAGGGTTACAGTCCATCAGGTGGGCATTCTCAACAGTGGGAGCCTGAGGCAGCTGGCCACATTGTATCCACAGCCCAGAAGTGGAGGTAAAGCCTGATGCTCAGCTCACTCTCTTCTCCTATAAAATCTGGCCCAGAGAATGGTGTCACCTGCCTTGGGTGGGTCTTCCCACCTGACTTGGCCTAATCAAGACAATCTCCCACTGCCGTGCACAGAAGCCTGCCTCCTAGGTCTCTCAGCTTTCTGCTCCTGCTGGCCTGTCTCCCTCCCACCATAATGGATTTTTATTCCTCTGCAACTATAAGCTAAAATAAACTCTTTCTTCCATAAGTGTCTTTTGATCATGGTGTTGACTCAAGCAAGAGAAAAGTAATGAATAAGTTCTCTTTGATTTGACTAAAGGAAAGGACAACAATCCTTGATGCATTCATATTTCTCTTATCTAATAACCCTACCCTTTTAGCCAAACTATTAACTGACCTCACCTACATGGTTTATAGCTTGAACAATTTCCTCCCAAAGATCTCCAGTCCACAACCCTTCTACTCAGCAATTTCTCACTTTGCATGGCCAGTGTGACTTACCGTGTTTTTATGTTGTACTTAGGATACTGAGAATAGCTAAGAAATATCCCCATGACCATCCAAGTTAGTATCATCACATATTTACAACATGGAATGTTGGGCCTCAGTGCTATACTGTAATCTTAATTGCACCCTAGCATTTGCCGTTCCCACCTGAGTTCTGTAATTCTTCAACATCCTGTGTCTTCTTTGACTTCATTACCAAATATGCTTGCCTCCTACTTCAGAGACATTAGCTTTATTCCTGATCTACCTCACCTCCACCACTTCATGTACACCTGCCATTTATCCTTGCTTTTCTCAAATCACAAAGAAGCAATACTTACCTGGCAGGAGAGATAACATGATCATGAAGGTGATTTTTCCAGGGTGAGGCTTATCCATTGCACTCTGGATGTGATGGCCCTGAGATTTCCCAAAAGTGGAAAACATCACTGCATAATTTGTGGTAGTGGGAGACTTTGTTTGCACTCTGATAAAAAAAAAATCACAAAGAAGTATGAAAGAAAAATTAATATCTTTTGTGGTGTTATTTTATTTGTGCTCTAATAAATAAAGCTTGCACGGAGATCAGAGGAAAAAGCCAGCCACTACATTAAACATAGAGGTCAGGCAGTAGTAGCACATGCCTTTAATCCTAGCATTTCAGAGGCAGAGATTCATCCAGATCTCTGTGAGTTCAAAGCCACACTGGGAACAGAGCCAGGCATGGTGGCACACACATTTAATCCCAGTGCTAATCAACCAGAGAGGTCTGGAGGTCTGTACAGACAGACAGGAAGTGATATAGCTGGGCAGAGAGGAAGTAAGATGACAGGGCACAGAAGGTTTATGGGCATAAGTATACAGGAAGTAGCTCTCTCTTTGGCTGAGGATTTCCTAGCAGTAAGAGTGTGCCTGGCTTCATTCTGCTTCTCTGATCTCTCAGTTTTCACCCCAATATCTGGCTCTGGGTTTTTAATTAATAAGACCTTTTAAGATTTGTTTTACATTTGGCCCCCAACATTTGTGGCAAGAATTCACTAAAAAGCCACTTGTGGCCTTGCAGGCTCCCAGCTCTGGCTCAAGCTGCATGCAGCCGGAGACTCCACTACACATGGGCCAGAGTCTCTTTGGCTTCTTCTCTCCTGGTGGGTTGTGGGCTTTCTCTGTATTCCTATCTCAGACTGCTACCACACTAGGTAGCTGCTTTGAAACTCCCTCAGACCTCTACTGTTCTACTTAGTCAGCAGACTTGATGAATCAATTAAGATATCTTAATGGGAGAAATTAGTTAAAAGAGTTTTTTCTCACATTAAAAAAATGGGAAATATTTTTACAATGGAGGGAATTTTGTCTCTGTTTGATAACACAATAGGCAGTCTGAAAATGGAGCAATTAAATGCGAGGATGATTAATGTTCATGGGATTTATATAATGTCAATTATGAATATTATTGTTTGATCATTTTTGTTTTATCATTAAAAAGGTTGGTTAATTTGAGTGCCAAGATAAAAGTTTAGAAAAACTTGTTAAGACAGATCATAGAGATATTCAGACCCAGACAGAAGAATTTAAAGGTGAACCTATCTGAGCAATGAATTATACAGTTACAGAGAAATAGCCTAAGGTTTTCAAACAGGCAACATTAATCTATCTGGTAACCTTACAGGAACTGCCAAATGCTCAAGGCTGTGTATAAGCTAAGTGGACCTCTGTGGAAATGTTAGATCTGAGGAGATTTAAGGAAGCTATAGTCTCATATGGTATGCACTCTCTGTTTATAAAGCAGATGTTAAACTCGTGGTCAACTTGTAATAGAATTATCCCTCAGGACTGGAAAGATTTGGTTACAGTTGTCCTAGAGGCTGGTCCACAGTTACAATGGAGGACCTGGTGGAAAGAGGAGGCTAAGACTATTGAACAATGATGTAGGGTTAGTGGTATGGAAATTCCCCAAGATGAACTTCTTGGAGAAGGTGATTATGCTGATATACAAAAGAAATCTTTATGTGATTACCACACACTAATTCTATGCTGCATTGCCACCATGAATGCTTGGGAAAGAATTGAAGATGTAGGAAAGAAAATTGAGTCATTTACAAAAGTTATACACGGCCCAAAAGAAACCTTCACTGAATTCTTACAAAGACTGTTTACAGCAGTAAATAGAATGATATCAAATTCAGAAGCTAGACAGACAATATTTGAATCTCTGGCTTTTGAAAATGCTAATACAAAAAGCAAAAGGGTAATTAGATTATTAAAGGCAAAATTAACACCCTTGAAGGAATGGATCTGAGATACAATGAATATTGAACCTTATGACCATGATGATACTTGGATAGGAGAGGTAATTTCCAGAGGTTTGAAGAAAAATAATAATGTCAGATGATTTAATTGTGGTAAACAAGATCACCTAAAAAGGGACTGTAAACAGGGCATTCCTAGAAACAATGTTTTTTCAAAGAACAATGGCAACAGAATGTCCCTCTCTTCTTGATCATGCAGAAGGCATGGTAAAGGCAAACATTGGACTAATGAATGTAGATCAGCAAAGGACAGACAAGGTAATCCTTTGCCTCTGCCATCTGGGAGGTCCTTGAGGGTCCTCTTGCAGGCCCCCACGGCAAATTCAGTTCAGTCTTTTCCTTCTATCATAGAAGAAAACCCTTCCCAGTGATATTAAATAACCAATTGCCTATTGTTAAAAAAAAAAAAAACATGTTGCTTGGGGTGATAGAACAGATATAGCAAGGAGATAAAAAAATTTGGAGAAATCATAAAGCAATTTTTTTTGCAAACTTCTATAAATGAACAAAGGCCAAAAGTAAAAACACAAATATATGAAATTCTCATTGAGGGTCTTGTAGAAACAGGTGTGGATGTAATAATAATTGCACAAGAATCTTGGCATCCAAATTGGCCTCTTCAGGAGGTAAATGTTCAGCTGTTCAGGATTGGAACATCATCTCAAGTGAAACAGAGTGCAAGATGGATTGAATGTATAGGGCCAGAAGGACAGAGAGGAAAATTAAAGCCATATGTGACTAATATAACTATGAATCCATGTGGACAGATTTGTTATAACAACAGAATACCCAGATTAACATTCCTCCAACCTCAGAAACAAACCACAAACTAACACGTTTCTGAGAAAAATATTAGAAAGTATTATAAAGAACAGTCTCCAGCCATCTAGATTGTACAAGAACAGGGCACAACAACTGTTGATCTTTCAAAGACACCAACAGCTCCACCTTAAAATGGTTAACAGACAAACTTGTATGGGTTCAACAATGGCTTTTAACAACAGAGAAACTATAGGCCTTAGAATAGCTGGTACAAGAGCAGTTAAATGCTCAGCATATTGAAGAATCAACCAGCCCTTGGAATTCTCCTGTATTTCTTATTAAAAAGAAACCTGGTAAATGGATAATGGTAACAGATTTAAGAGCAATTAACAAGGTAATTCAGTCAATGGGCTCTCTACAATCTGGAATTCTTTGCCTACTCTGTTACCTAAAGGATGGCCTATTATAGTTATCGATTCACAAGACTGTTTCTTCTCAATACCCTTACAAGAAAAAGACAGAGAAAGATTCGTCTTCATGGTGCCTACCTATTATTATAATAATTCTCAACTGGTTAAGAGATATCAATGGAGGGTTCTCCCACAGGGAATGTTAAATAGCCCAATTCTGTGCCAACATTTTATATGACAGCCACTGGAAGTAATACATAAACAATTTCCTAAATCTATAATTTATCATTACATGGACAATATTTTACTAGCTCATTCAAATGCAGATACTTTAGAAAGAATGTTTGAATAAGCAAAGAAAATTTTGCCTTGTTGGGGATTACAAATTGCTCCTGAAAAGATACAAAGAGGAGATCCTATTAATTATTTAGGATATAAAATAAGTCTACAAAAAAATTAGACACAAAAGGTGCAAATTAGGAGAGATTGATTACAGACTCTTAATGACTTTCAAAGATTATTCAGAGACATTTCCTATCTATGGACTGCTGTTAGGGTAAAAAATGATGAACTAAGTAATTTGTTCCAAACCTTAGAAGGTGACAAGGACTTAAACAGTCCAAGAGAATTATCTGCTGGAGCTGGGAGATAACTGGCTTTGATGGAAAAGAAAATACAGGATGCACATGTGGATCATGTGGATCCAACGCTTGATTGCATTTTGGTTATTTTAACTTCTAAGCATTCTCTTACAGGAATATTAATGCAGAGGGAAAATATTATATTGAAATGAATATTCCTACCAAATAAACAAAGTAAAAAATTAGAAACATATTGGAAAAGATCTCTGAGTTGATTTTAAAAGGAAAATTGAGACTTCGTCAATTAACAGTAATTGACTCTGCAGAAATTGTAGTACCTTTAACTAATGATGAAATTGACAAACTATAGGCAGAAAGTGAACCTTGCCAAAGAGCTTGCAGTATTTTTTGGGGAGAGATTAACAACAAATATCCCAAAAGTGATAGAATTCAACTTATAAAGAAAGCTAACTGGATCCTGCCTCGCATTGTATGGGAAAAACCAATCTCTGGAGCCCCTACATTTTATACAGATGCAAACAAACAAGGAAAAGCAGGTTACAAGTCATAAAATTTAAGCAAAGTGGTTCAAAGTCCTTATAATTCTGTCCAAAAATCGAATTATATGCTATTCTGTCGATATTAATGAATTTTTTGAGACCTCTAAACATAGTTACTGACTCTCAATATGCTGAAAGAGTGGTATTACATATTGAAAGAGCAGAATTTATCCCTGATGAATCAGAATTAAGTTCACTATTTATTCAGTTACAAGATATAATCAGGAATAGGAATCATCCCTTATATATAACTCACATCAAATCCCATACAGGCCTGCCAGGCCCCCTAGCACACGATAATGATGAGATTGATAAATTATTGAAAGGAAATGTGCTGGAGGCCTCAGAAATTCATAAAAAATATGAATAGTATTTTTCATGTCAATTACATGTCAATAGTAAAGGTTTAAAAAAGGATTTTTCCATAACCTGGAAACAAGCCAAGGAGATTGTAAGGAAATGTCCTACTTGTTCCTTTTACAATCAGGCTCCATTACCAGCAGAATGTAAGCCAAAGGGTACTCAGAGAAATGAAATCTGGCAGATGGAAGTGTTTCACTTTGTATAATTTGGAAAATTGAAATATGTACACCATACCATTGGTACTTTTTTCAGGATTTCAATGAGCAACTACTTTGAGTTCTGAAAAAGCTGGTTCTGTAATCACTCATTTGCTAGAAGTTGTGGCCATCATGGGTATGCCTGCACAAATTAAAACTGACAGTGCTCCAGCATATGTCTCTGGTAAAATGAAACAGTTTTTTGCTTATTAAAATATAAAGCATATTACAGGTATACCACATAATCCTACAGGCCAAGCAGTTATAAAAAGATCCAACAGAACTCTAAAGGATATGCTAAATAAACAGAAAGGGGTAACAAAAAACCCAGAAATAGATTACATAATACTCTCTTAACTTCAAATTTTCTCAGTGCTAATGAGAAAAGAACAACAGCTGTGGAGAGACATTGGATAATAGAAAAAAACTACAGAATTAAATCAGCCTATATACTTTAAAGATGTGCTGACCTCAGAATGGAAGCCAGAAGATGTGTTACATTGAGGACAAGGTTTTGCTTTTCGTTTCTACAGGAGAATAAAAGCTATGGATATCATCAAAATTGATAAAGATTCAATTTGAACAAGAGAGACCTCTTAATTAGGAGAGGTGATAGTTCATCAACCAGCATGACCATTCATTTAAACTAACTTATACCACTAACAAATGCTTTTCATTTAATTAAATATTACTTGCCAAAAGGGAACCTCCTCAAAGTTAGGGTTGGGGAAGGCATTTTGTTTTTGTCTTCCAGGAGAATGAAGGCTAAGGAATCTGAAGAACATTGGACAAATGAGACATCTGAAGAAGAAAAGAACAAATCATGTAGAAAAAAATGTCCCAAGAAAAAGAGCAAATTGTCCTATTGGTATATCACATATCTAACAGGATAAAATTTCTTAAGCCTTCCTAAATCTTTGTTTCTGCTGTTCTCTACAGACACTTAACACAAATAGTCTTTATGTAGTCTGAGTTCAATTAAAAATTAGAATGGGCTTTGGAGTTGGAACGTGGCTCTCTCCTTCTCTAAACCCAAGCATTGCTTGTTTGAAGAAAATGCAAATCTCTGTATCATGTCAGAAGAGCCATCTGATATGGGATAGAAGGAAACCAAAATTAAAGAACTGTTTTATTGCCACTAATCTCATAATTCTTTGGCTCCATTTTGATTCTTTAAAACTTTTCTTAAGGTATGAATTTTATATCAAAATTTATAAGATTAATATATATATATTAAACTTTTGTCATGATATTAATGGTCATATTGAGTACTAACTAATTCTAGAAAAAAGGCTTCATCTAGCTGCCTTACATGATTTCAGGTTTGAGTCTCTATCACTTTTCTGCAGGGAATCATGATCACACCTAACAGCAAATTTGAAGTCTCCAAAAAGGTGATGTGGACCCACAATGATGATTCCATCAGAACAATGATAATACCATTAAGCTGACAAATACCACCCAAAGATAGACTTTGGACTACAAACTGCTGAGGACAATTTCAAGATGACTAGCTGAGATGATCCAGCCTCACAGACTACTCAAGCAAGGACTTGAACAAGCCCTACACTTTTGCGTTATGCAGAGACTGGACAAATGATATAGCTACCTTTCCCAGGACTTGACAATTAACCCAAAAATTTTCTTTTCAGGATTCCCTAAAGATGCCTTTGCCTGCAGGCAGCAGAAAGTAATTTTAAGAACACGATGACCACATTCCCAAGAGGTGGGGTGTGTGGTTTTTGGTCATTCAATGGGTTATGGATAACTGTCATTGTTTAGGATGGTTGGTTACAAGATGTTAATTGTTAATGGTCAGGAAAAAAGGTAAACAAAGGAAATTACATTCAGGGTTCTTATTTGAAAAAAAAAGATATAGAAATGATAAAATAAAGGGTAGATTATTGAATCTACTCAGAAAAGAAAAAAAAGAGAATATGGATATACTAAGATAAAAGGGTAGATTATTGAATCTACTTTTAGAAGGCAACTACTAGTTTTAAATATTTTGCATTGGATTGCATTTTTGCATATTGTATACAAATTTTGTATATTGATATGAATTTGAGATTTATTTTGTTAGAAAATACTGTACATATATTTCTAATCTTATTCAATGTATTGTACCTATACAGTTCATTTAATAGTGTAATGCAATTTTCTAGTCCTTAAAAGTTATTACCAACTATTTAGGATAATGAAGAAATGCAGGTTAGTAGTTAATCATTATAATTGAACTTGTAGTCATATTAGGTATATTTTCAAGGTCAAGCAGAGATATATTTTAGATAGACAGGTCATCTTCAAACACTTCAAAGATCTACAGAATATGATATTTAAGATGTTTTAATAACATAGATATTTTCTTTTTTTTATGACTATGAGACATGTCTGCTCCTGCAGCACCAATCCACTTCAGAGAAGATGATGGACATTGAAGAAACTCCATGTGGAGTTTACTATCACTGTGACAAAAGTTAGCCACTGGGCGAGAAAGTGCCCTTGCCTCGATTGCTGACAGTATGTTGTCCAAAATGGACAAGAAGGACACAAAAAAAGTGACTGCTGAACCTTGCCAAGATAAGGTAGGACAGCTCTTTAGAAAATCCTCCTTCACAGATGAGTCTGTTAGATATGCTAGGCCTGTAGGCCAAAGATAGATGCCCCAATGTTGCAGAGGAACCTTAGGTGACTGTCCAGGGAGCCAGCTGTTTCTGTCATTCCTCACATTTTTTGGAAGTTGCTTGTTTGCACTTCCTGCTTACTCAGTTAATATTATTTTCTTCTCAGGTCTCTGAGGGAGTTGATTAGATAGTTATAGTTATAGTTTTCCTTGTTAATCATTTCAGAAAATAACTCATTAAAGAGGTGTAAAGAGTATAAGTTTGAAAGACATCAAAAGATAGTTTTGGTAATGCAAATTAGGATAAAAGGTAAATTAGATATAATCCTTTGGATTCACAAAGACAGGTTAGATAATGGAATATTTTCTCTGAATTTGTCAAATGCAAATAGACTAGAAATTGTTGATGTATTTATTGCCTGTATATATTGTATATAGTTATTGTACTTATTGTATATAGTTTTTCTTATATTAGTTATAACTTTTTTTATTTTAGAGAAAAAGGGGAAATGTGGTAATATTTTATTTGTGCTCTAATAAATACAGCTTGCATGGAGATCAGAGGAAAAGCCAGCCACTATATTAAACATAGAGGTCAAGCAATAGTAGCATATGCCTTTAATCCTAGTATTTTGGAGGCAGAGATTCATCCAGATTTCTGTGAGTTCAAGGCCACACTGGGAACAGAGTCAGGCATGGTGGCACACACCTTTAATCCCAGTGCTAATCAACCATAGAGGTCTGGAGGGGATGTAGCTGGGCAGAGAGAGGAAGTAAGATGACAGAGCATAGAAGGTGTATGGGCATAAGTATACAGGAAGTAGCTCTCTCTTTGGCTGAGGATTCCCTAGATCAAGAGCCATCCCTGGTACATGAACCAGCTTTTTGGAACCCACTACCTATGGTGGGACACTTTGCATAGCCTTGATGTAGGCAGGGACGGGGCTTGGACCTGCCTCTACTGAATGTACCATGCTTTGCTGACTCCACAAGGGAGGCCTTACATTGTTGACAGAGGGAATGGGGGGGGGGGGTTGGGGAAGAAGAATAGAGGGGCAGGAGGAGGGAAGAGAGGGGGATCTGTAGTTGGTATACAAAATGAATAAAAAAATTCCTTCATTAAAAAAAAGGTGACTGCCCAGCAGGGGGTATGGTCTAATGACAATAAATGGAGGGCAATTTAGTAAGGCCTGTTTGTTCAGATTCTTCACTGTATTTATCTGTATTCATTGCTTCCTACAGGTATTAAGGGCCTGCTGGAACGAGCATCTTATGATCCTTTCTAAAAGAAGATCAAAGGATTGGGGTATGACCTGCTGCAGAGGAGGAGAGAGGAGAAATCAAAGAGCCCCCTGATTTTTCAAATGCCATGACTCCATGTTTAGGGTAGTAAAGCCTAGAACTTGTCCAATTTATGTTGCTTCCCTCCTGCTGAAGACCCAACCCTGTGCTTGAGATTTCAGAACTTTCTGTCTGTTCTAAGACTGAATTTCCTTTTGTTATCCATGTATTTTATTTTCAACTGATTTTCTTACCATCTTAGTCACTGTTCTACTGCTATGAAGAAATACCATGACCAAGGCAACTCTGAAAGCATTTAAATGGGGACTTACTTACAGTTTCAGAAGCTCAGTCAGTCCATAATCATCAAGGTAGGAAGCATGGTGGCATGCATGGTGCTAGAGCAATGGCTAAGAGCTTTACATTCTGATGCAAAGGCAGAGAGAGGGAGAGAGACTGGCCTGCCATAAGCTTTGGAAACCTCAAAGCCCACCCCCAGTGACATACTTCCTCCAAGAAGGTCACACCTACTCCAACAAGGCCACACCCCTAATCCTTCCAAGCAGTGCCACTTGCTGGTGACTAAGTATTCAAATATATGAAGCTATGGGGGCCTCATTCTCATTCCAGCCACCGACTACACTCACCCTCTCCACAGGTTTGGCCACCCCCAAGTCTTAAATAAACACTTCTGCTCCCCGTCCCCATCCTTTCCCTTTTCAGCTTCCACCACTGTCCCTTGTGCTAAATTAGTTTGATCAGAGGGAGCACGTTGCTCCCTCTGTAGCTCTCCAGTATTCAGGCTTCCTGTAGTCCCTTTGGAGGGCTTGGTTACCTTCAGATGCCAAGTCGAGTTGTCATGCTTTGCCTCTTATCTTCTTGGGTTGTTTGACACTATTGACATTGTCTTAAACTCTCTCTTCTGTTGGTTGACGTTTCCTGTTGCTTCCTTCTTGTCTGTCATCTCTGTACATTTCTGTGTTTATGATTCTTTCCACAGTGACACCCCAAGAAGTTTTTCACTTACTAATCTCTTTTCACTTTGTAAATTCTGTAAATGTCTAGCAATTTCATCATTTTTCATGATTTTGAGTGTTATTTAAACTAACAAACTCAGTGAATATTCCTCTCCTCTTTAGGTATTCAACTACCTACCTACAATATCCCTTTAGATGTCCTGTAATAACCTTATTTGTATCTTATCTGAATGAAGCACATCTCTACCCACCTCTCCTTGTGTTTCACATTTTTCTCTCCTGTGAATTCAGTGATGGTGGTGCATCTAAACACAGTCTGTCACTCCTCTGCTTAAACACTTTTTGGCACTTTACCACCTGAAGGTAGAACTTTCTGTTGGTGTGATGAAGGACCTGGCTCTTCCTTACCTATCTCTCTAGCCTCACCTCCACACTCACCCAACTTCATGGTTTAAGATTTAGAAAACCCAAACTATTTACACTCTTCCAAAATCTCTATTTTGTGATGGGCATCTTTGCCCATGCTATATCTGTCTGAAATACTAGTAAAAACTATTGGGAATATACTATCTGGCTCTCATTCATCTTTCAAAACTCATTCCAAACAACACCGTCTCTAGACTTTATCAACCAATAACTGCGGAAACAGGAGAAATCAATGCAATTCACCTCTGAGAGCAGAACTTGCCAGGGCTGAGCTTTCATGATTATCTGTGCTCCTTGGTGGATATTTTTGAAGTATACACCAAAGACTAGGTGCTCATGCACAAACCAGTGTTTCAACAACATCATTCCCTTCAAAATACTCTTATACTAAAATATTTGGGAACCTCACTGTTTCTGCATTTGGTTTTGATTTCATTGTATTTTCCACTTTGATGGTAATTAAATAGAATTACTAGGTACGAAGTAGTGTTACTGTTTTCTAGTTACTGGGTTAGATCAGTCAAGTAAGGAACCGTCTGTGGGTGCCCAACTGTGCCATGACTCAGGGGTCCTGGAGTGTGGTCCACTTTGTGGACATTTTACATGATGACTAAAGCACTGAAGGGCACCCAGTTTCTGTCAGGTGCTGTAACCTAAAATATTACATTTCTAGTACATTCTCCAGTTATTCTTGAGAATAAGAAGAAAGGAAGGAAGACTATGCTGGTCCAAGGCCAACAGAAAACTGTCCTGCACTATGCTAACAGTTTTCATGGGTGCATCTATAGCTGAATAATTTCCAAGGATTTGTGCAAGTGTGTAATACCACAAGCCACATTATGGTATATTCTCTCCAGGATGAATAATTTTATTAACCTCTTCTTTTTATTTTGTTAATTTAAGAATGAAACAAAGCCAGGCATTTTCCCTTGATCTGCCTAGTTACATACCCAAATACTTGTTTACCACAAGTAGTTCCTTTATAATAATAATAATAATAATAATAATAATAATAATTATGCATAATAATTATTATTAATTATTATTATGCATGCACGTGTGTATATGCATATGATATGTATGTGTAGGGCATCTGTGTACCACAGCGCACATGTGGATGTCAGAAAACAATTTTGTGGAGTCAGTTTTCTCCTTCCACATTTACACATATTCTGGGGATTGAATTCAGGTTATCAGGCTTGTGTAGCAAATGCCTCTACCCATCTTGCTGGCCCCAGTAGTTATTTAGTGATCATATTTAAATTACATGAGTTATTCTCATTCTCCAGCTGGCATTCCTCTTCTTAGTAACATCTTATTTATACTTAATGGTCACAATGTTTTCTGAATATTCATGAGGGATTATTAGAGACCTTTTATTTTGTCTTCATTTATTTTCTTCAGCATAAGTTCAGCCCTTCTTTGAAGGTCATTTATTGCTTGTATTTCTGGATCATTCTCTTTCATATTACTTGGTTCGTTCAATGCCAAGTGATATTTTTATATAAGTAGAAGAATGTAGCAATATCCTTTGCATGATGGTAAGTTGGCTAGGAGCTGACCATCACACAGGGAGGTCAGAAGGCAACAAAGCCAGTTTCTCCCACTTCAGAATTTTCCCCAGACAAGAGGCTCTTCTTTTTTTTGGAAATAAAAACTCTGGTTTTGGTTTTTGTTTGTTTGTTTTTTAACTTAGAAAATGAAGGCTTGGCTTCTGATGATTCTTTCTATATGAGGGTGGGCAGGGGAGAGAAGGAGGACCTGAGCTGAGCTGAAGAGACTTCAGTGCTCAAATCTCATGTGCATGCTGTCTGCGAAGCTCTCCTTCCCAGTCCCTCTTCTCCAACCCTGATGAATCAGAGCCAGCTTGTCTCGGGGGCCCGTCGGTTGAGCCAGAAGACCACTCTGCATCTCAGGCCCTGACCATCTATTTGCTTTAATGCCTCGACCATCATCCATCTGCCTTCCCTGTTCTAAAGTTGGTTGAAATTTCTCCCACTCATTAGTGCTCTGATACTGGCCTGGGTTTTTCCCCTTTGGCATTACTGTCCAAATAATTTGCTTTCCCAAAACACAAAGTGAGAACTCTGTGTTTTTAATTCATTTATATAAAAGTTTCCTAGAATGAAAGAACTAATACATTAAAATTCATGTGTGATTTAGACACTTCCTTTTGCTTTGACTCATTTTGATAAAAAGATAGTTCTAAATTTTATGTAGTTATCTCTCAGTCTTTCCTATATTTCTATTCTGTTACATTTTTGAAAAATTCTAGTTATTTTAGGTGTTTGCTATTGGATTATTACAGATTCATTTGTATTGTTTAGGATTTTTTCAGTGATATTGTCCATTAAATATATTTTGGTATCGGAGAATTCCCAAAAGAAAATTCTTTTTGGTAAAAGTCTTTTCTCTAAACAAGAACTTATGATATATTTTAACTTATGAAAATAAGGAAGTTTTCACTTGATTTCTTATTTCCCTAGCCCTGCATTTAAGGATATCTTTGGTTTATGGAAGATAAATTTAAAAGTTCTGATATATAATGTAAAATGAGTAATAAAATAGATCTGATACATCACTTCCTAAATAATTATATTAAAAACCAATTATTGTTGTTTTTATCCCCACTGGATGGACAAATCTTTTAAAATGTTAATCTGTTACACAGTATAGATTTTATCTTGGAAATATCTTGGTGTTTCATTTAGCTGTCTAATTTTATGCCCCAAATCTAATGTTTTAATTAATTTTGAATCATATGCTTATAGTTATACAAACTGATGTTATTATTATTTGGCTCAGAATTTCAGTAGCATATTATTTCAAGGGGTATTGGGAAAAATTATAATCTTTGGAGGTGTTATGATTTCTCACTATTTTGGAATTCTGAGCCATTAATTTTGTTTTGATTCTCTAATACTGTAGTTATTTTAGCCAAGTTGTCCCGACTTGATGCATATGGATAAATAGCATTATGTTAAGTATCTTAGCATAATTGTGAGTCTGTCAATATCTTTGTGGTGTTTTAATTTTTTCCCTTTTAACTATTTTGCTGTTTTGTCTCTGTTACTTGGCACTTAGTATCAGTTCCCATGTGAGGACTGGCCTGGGGTAGGCCGGAACAGGCTATGGAGCCATCCAGGCGGTTCTTAGGAAGACAGATTGTTTTTTTGTTTGTTTGTTTGTTTGTTTGTTTTTGGGTTTTTTTTGTTTTTTGTTTTTTGTTTTTTTTTGGTTTTTCAAGACAGGGTTTCTCTGTGTAGCTTTGCGCCTTTCCTGGAACTCACTTGATTGTGAGATGAAGACCTGGGAGATTATTTGATGAGGAGAGGCTGGAAGTGCCCCAAACCCTGTAGATGCCAAGGCTGTCATAAAAAGGGAGGTTAGTGCCAGGTAGTTAAAGACAAAAGACATAGGATTGATGAGAATGGGGCCAGAAGACTAAGTGGCCAGCATGGAAGCTGGTATGTATTTTGACCAGTCATGTGACTAGCCTTCAGCAATACCAAAAGAGAAACCACGGTGGGAATGACTTTGTCCTTGCTTGTCTGGGGTGATGTCACATAACTGAGGTAGCTTATATAAAAGTTGAGGGTTCCAAGGAAGAAATCTTTCTTACCGAATCTAATGAGAGCCAGGAAGTTCTGAAGCGGAAGAGCTCTTGCCTCCTGTGTGCAGTGCTTTCTCAAGGACCTTCTGAAGACCAAAGCTCATTTTTTAAAACCCCTGGTTTACATGCATCCCATGCTTTGTACACTTCACATGTATGCACAGGTTTTTGCAGCATTTTTCTTTAAAATAATATTCCACCACAGATCCCCACACTCCGGTGGATGGTCCCACACACATGCATGTAAGGGCAACACTAACTGGACTTAGTGGATTATAAAAACAAACAAACAACAACAACAAAACCTAGGAAGTTGCTTTTGACCAAGCAGGTCCCAGCAGTAGCATCCCTTATTGGTGAGCAGATGTCTCCAACCTTGTGTCTCCACCCAGCTTTGTGCTCAGCTACGAACTGCCTTTGTGTCCTGGTTTGCTGTAGCTTAACTAGTCAGTGCACAAGGAAAGCCAATAACCTCCACAAAACATGGTCAAGCTTAGCACATTTCATTTCTAATTCTATAGTTAATTTCAGAATCATTTTACTGCTTTGCTGACATGACAGCATTTGACTAATTTTTCTTTCAAAGAACTAGTAAACCTTAATTTCCTACAGAAGCATTGAATGGATTTCTGTCTCTTTCCACTGACTTTCAACTCATGTAATTTAAAAGCTAAATGTGAACTGTAAAACTCAATCAATTTGGTAGTATTCTTTTAATATCAATTTTTATATAATTAGCCCCCAAACTGTGTTCAATTACTAACAATTAATCCTATGCACTTACAGGACAACACTAATTTCACACTTAGCAGCATTTAAAAGGAAGGTGGTGTGGATCCCACAGAGGAAAAGTCCTCCCCTAAGGAGCTAAGCTTTGTTACACAGAGTAGACGATGAAAGTGTTTTCCATCACAATCCACTATAGGGGCCCATGTTTCCCTCAGCAAACACACAAGCAGAATCATACATTCTTTAGTTACAGCTTTCAGTGGGATGGCCAGCCTCTTAAAACAGATTCTGGATTTTATGTTTTCTTTTGACAGTCTTCTTGAGTTAGTATTTTTATCAATGCTGTATACTTAACTGTTCTACTGAGGCTGGCTGTGAGAAGCCAGACAATGGAACCATAACAGGACAAAGACTGAGAACGACAGTCAAAGGCAGAAAATTGTGCAAAACTCGTTACGAAAAAATTCCCCTTAGAAATCAGGAAAAGCTGGCTCGCAAGTACACTCAGTAGTTGAGAATGCTTGCTGCTCAAGCATATGGACCTGAATTCAGATGTCCAGCATACTCATAAAAAGATGCACACAACCATGCAGCTTTTTTTAAACTCTGGTGTTGTGGGGGGAGATGTACAGGGACAAGAGCATCCCTGGGGTGTGCTGACAGCCAGTCTAGCATTTAAGGTGAGTTCTGGGTTTGATGAGAGACCTTCTCAAGGGAATAAGGAGGAAGAATAATAGGGCAGGGTACCCAATAGCCTCCTCCAGCCTCCCCATCCATGTATGCATATGCCATGCATTAACTTCCAATATAAAATAAAAATTAAATACAAATTAAATCAAGAAATATTAAAATTAGGACAAATTTAGTGCATTTAAGATATAACAGTGTTATAGCACTTGCCTAATATTCACAAAGTGCTGGGTTCATGTGGTGATATATTGTGTACCCTAATAAACTTATCTGGGGATAAAGGACAGAGCCATCCACTAAAGTAGACATAGAGGCCAGACAGTGGTGGCACACACCCTTAATCCTATCACTTGAGTCAGAGACCTATCTGGATCTCTGTGAGTTCAAGACCACACTGGAAACAGAGCCAGGCAGTGGTGGCACACACCTTTAATGCCAGTACTGGGAAAGCACGCATGCTTTTAATCCCAGGAAGTGATGGTAGGGTGGAGAAAGATGTATAAGGTGTGAGGAAACAGGAGCTAAAGCAGTTCAGCTGAGATCCTTTTGGGTGAGGACTCAGAGGCTTTCAGTCTGAGGAAACAGGATCAGCTGAGGAGTTGGCAAGGTGAGGTGGGCTATGGCTTGCTCTGTTTCTCTGATCTTTCAGCTTTCACCCCACTCTTGGGGTTTTTATTAAAAGACCATCTAGGATTCGAACAACATCTGGCATCCAACTTGTGGGGCACGAATTCATGAAAAAGCCATTTACCTGGGGCTTAGGCCAGAGCTATATATGGCCGGAATCTCTACCCTGCCTGGGCTGGGAGTCCCTAATACACTGGCAGCAGACTCCCCAGGCTCAAGCTTCAAACACCCCAGAATTAGCTGTTTTCACACGTTCCCCAATGCAGAAAGCTGGCTTTTTGGCTTCTTTCCTCTCCTGGTGGGTTCTGGATTTCCTTGGGCTCCGTCCTCAGGCTGCTGCCACCATCATCTGAATCATCATTATCAGCAGATTTGGTGAGTCAATTAAGATTTCTTAAAGGGAGGAATTAGTTAAAAGAAAGCTTTTTCCCACATTAAAAAATGGGAAACATTTTTACAATAGAGTGAATTGGGTTTCTGTTTGATAATACAATTGATGGTCTAAAAATGTAACAGTTAAATGAGAGAATAATTAATGTGGATGGGATTTATGTAATGTCAATCATAAATATTATTTGTTTGATCATTTTTGTTTTATAATGAAAAAAGTTGGTTAATATGAGTGCCAAGATAAAAATTTTAGAAAAACTTGTTAAAACAGATCATAGAGAAATTCAGACCCAGACAGAGGAATTTAAATGTGAACCAATCTCATCATTGGCTACAGAGAAACAGCCTAAGGCTTTCAAACAGACAACCTTAATCTATCCAGTAACCTTACAAGAACTGCCAAATGCTCAAGGCTGTGTATAAATAACTGGACTCCTATGCAAATGTTAGATTTGAGGAGATTTAAAGATGCTATAGTGTCATATGGTATGCATTCCCCATTTGTGAAGCAGATGTTAAACTCATGGTCAATTTGCAATAGAATTATCCCTCAAGACTGGAGAGAGTTGGTTACAGATATTTTAGAAGCTGGTCCACAATTACAATGGAGGACCTGGTGGAAGGATGAGGCTAAGACCATTAAACGATGGAGCAGGGCTAAAGGTATGGAAATCCTCCAAGATCAACTTCTTGGAGAATAAGATTATGCTAATGTAGAAAGGCAATCTCCATATGATGACCACACCCTAGCTTTATGCCAGATGGCAGCCTTAAATGCTTGGGAAAGAATTAAAGAAGTAGGAAAGAAAATTGAGTCATTTATAAAAGTTATACATGGCCCAAAAGAAACCTTCACTGATTTCTTACAAAGGCTGTTTTCAGCAGTAAATAGAATGATGCCAAATTCAGAAGCTAAACAGATATAATTGAATCTCTGACTTTTGAAAATGCTAATGCACAATTCAAAATGTGTAATTAGGCCGTTAAAAGCAAGATCAACACTCTTGGAGAAATGGATCCGAGATACATTGAATCTCATGACCATGATGATACTTGGATAGTAGAGGTGATATCTAGAGGTTTGAAGAAAAATAGTAATATCAGATGTTTCAAATGTGGTAAACAAGGTCACCTAAAAAGGGACTGTAAACAGGGCATCCCTAGAAACAATGTTTATTCAAGGAACAATGGCAACAGAATGCTGCTCCCTTCTGGATTATGCAGAAGGTGTGGCAAAGGCAAATATTGGACTAATGAATGTAGATCAACAAGAAACAGACAAGGTAATCATTTTCCTTTGCCACCAGGAAACTTCCTGAGGGGCCTCTCACAGGCCCCCATTACAAATTATGTTCAGTCCTTTCCTGTCACCATGGAAGAAAATCCTTCACAGAGCAATTAAAGAACCTAATGCCTGTTGTAAAAAACTATACTGCTCTGAATGATAGAACAGCTAAGAGAAGAGAAAACAAAAAATTCAGAAGAAACCATAAATCAAAATTGATAAAGATAAGATTTGGAACTCCCCCCAATGTTATGGTTGGGGAAAGGTTTTGTTTTTGTCTTTCAGGGAAATAAAGGCATCCAGCTAAGGAATCTGAAAAACACTGGACAAATGAGACATCTGAAGAAAAAGGATGAATCATCCAGAAAAAAATGTCCCACAAAAAAGATTTTCTACAGTGAACCATGACCACGTCTAACAGTGACTTTGAAGTTTCCCAAAAGATGATGGGACCCCATAACAATGATTCCATCAGGATAATACCACTAAGCTGACAAATACCACCCAAAGATAGGCATTGGACTACAATTGCTCAGGACAATGGCTAGCTGAGATGATCCAGCTTCACAGACTACTCAAGCAAGGACTTGAGACAAGCCCTGCACTTTCCCATTAAGCAGAGACTATACAAATGATGCAGCAACTCTCCCAGGACTTGACAATTAAACCAAAAATTTTCTTTTCAGGATTCCCTAAAGATGCCTTTGCCCCCAGACAGCAGGAAGTAATTTTAAGAACATGAAGCCCACATTCCCAAGAGGTGGGGTGGGTGGTATTTGGTCATTCAATGGGTTATGGGTAATTATCGTTGTTTAGGGTGTTTAATTACAAAGGAAATTAGATTAAGTGTTCTTGTTTGAAAAAAGAAAGGAAGAAAGAAAGAAAAAGAAAGGAAGGAAGGAAGAAAGAAAGAATAAAAGAAAGAAAGAAAAAAGAGGCTATAGATAAGATGTAGATTATTGAATATACTCTGAAAAAAATAAAGATATAGAAATGATGAATAAAGGGTAGATTATTGAATCTACTCTGAAAAGGAAAAAAGAGGATATAGATATGATAAGATAAAAGGTAGATTATTGAATTTACTCTGAAAAAAAGAGAATACAACCATAATAAGATAAAAGTGTAGATTATTAAATCTACTTTTAAAATGCAACTACTAGTTTTAAATATTTTACATTGGATTTTTATATATTGTATATAAATTATGTATATTGATACAAATTTGAAATGAATTTTGTTAGAAAATAGTGTACTTATATTTCTAATCTTGTTCAAGGTATTGTACCTATATAGCTCATTTAACAATCTAATGCAAATTGCTAGTCCTTGAAAGTTATTATTACCAACTAATTAGAATATAAAAAATTACAAGTTAGTATTTAGTCATCTATTACAATCGAATTTGTAGGCATATTAGGTATGTTTTCAAGGTCAAACAGAAATATATTTTAGATAAACAGGTCATCTTCACACACTTCAGAGATCTACAGAATATGACATTTAAGATGTTTTAATAACAGATATTTTCTTTTTTTTATGACTATGAGATGTGTCTGCTCCTGGCAGCACCAATCCACTTCAGAGAAGCTGATGGGCACTGAAGAAACTCCATATGGAGTTTACTTTCATTGTGGCAAAAGCTAGCCACTGGGCAAGAAAGTGCCCTTGCCTGAACTGTAGGACACAAAAGAAAGGACTGCTGAACCTTGCCAAGACAAGATAGGAAGGCCCTTCAGAAAATTCTGCTTCACAGATGAGTCTGTCAGATATGCTAAGCCTGTAGGCTGAAGATGGATACCCCAATGTTACAGATAAATCTTGGGTGACCGTCCAGGCAGCCAGCTTTTTCTGTCATTTCTCACATTTTTTGAAAGTCGCTTATTTGCACTTCCTGCATGCTTAGGTAGTATTATTTCCTTATTGGGTCTCTGAGGGAGCTGAAGATTAGATAGTTATAGTTTTCTTTGTTAACAAATTCAGAAAAGAAACTCACTAAAGAGGTGTAAAGTGTATAAGTTTGAAAGACATCAAAAGATAGTTTTTGGTTGGTAATACAAGTTAGGACAGAAAGTGAATTAGGTACAACATTTTGGACTCACCAAAATAGAATAATTAATGGAGTTTTTTGTTTGAATTTGTCAAATGTTAATGGACTGGACATTGTTAATATAAATCTTGACAGTACTTATTGTATATACTTGTACTTATTGTATGTAGTTTTTCTTATATTAATTATAACCTTCTTTTATTCTTTTAGACACAAAAGGGGAAATTGATATATTATGTACCTCAATATATTGTGTACCCTAATAAACTTGCCTGAGGATCAGAGGACAGAGCCAACCACCAGATTAGACATAGAGGCAAGACAGTGGTGGCACACACCCTTAATCCTATCACTTGAGTCAGAGACCCATCTGGATTTCTGTGAGTTCAAGGCCACACTGGAAACAGAGCCAGGCAGTGGTGGCACACACCTTTAATTCCAGTACTAGGAAGCACATATGCCTTTAATCCCAGGAACTGATGGTAGGGCAGAGAAAGATATATAAGGCGTGAGGAAACAGGAACTGAAGCAGTTCATCTGAGAGGCTTTCAGTCTGAGGAAACAGGATCAGCTGAGGAGTTTGTGAGGTGAGGTAGGCCGTGGCTTGCTCTGTTTCTCTGATCTTTCAGCTTTCACCCCAGTATCTGGCTCCATTTTTTTGTTAAAAGACCATCTAAGATTCAAACAACAGGTTCATCATCCACCTTCCCCACAAGGACTGAACTAATACATTTAGTCCATATCTGATGCAAACATATAATAATGCTACATGGTTTTTCTAATGTAGACCAGGCTACCCTTGAACTCATAGAGATTTATCTGCCTGCCTCTACCTCCCACATGCTATGATTAAAGGCGTGTGCTATCACACCCAGGTATTTTACCTTTCTAATAGTAGCAATGTCCAAATGACAAATAAATTTTGTTATTTTTACTGATCAGTATGTACCTAAGTACTTTCTCCTGACATGTGGTGTGTGAAGATAACATCATCACATCTGAATCCTATAATGATAATTTTCACCTGAAATATTAAAAGGTATCCCAATAATTCAAGATCAAATACAATGAATAAGCACAGGTTTGAATTGTCATCTTGTGCCAAAAATGAAAGGCACACATATCGAACTGTGTGCCTGGTGCTCATGAAAAGATGCACATACTTTTGTGCACTTCGGTATTTCACAGCTTGGGCCCTTTAGGTGCTTCCTGTTAGTAACTGGTTGATGAGGACCTGTAGTCAAATTTAATATTTTGTAATTCATATTAAGATATGCAAATTGTGAGCATATTATACATTTTTTAAATTGTAGGAACAATTTATAGTACAAAGTGGTATTGCTCAAGGGCCCGAACAGTGACCTAGGAGCACAGAGTTCTGTATGTTAATTTTGATTGTCAGTGTGACCACATGTATAGCATCCTACTCTCCTTTTATTTTCCATTATCCCTTTCTAACATGAGTACAGCAACTTTCTTGAATAGTTGGAAATGAGTTCATGAATAACGGAGAGTGGCTAAAATCAACACACACACACACACACACCATTGTGAGACCGGTAAGAGTCCAAAAACTTTATCGACATTTTAGACATTGTCACACTTTACAGACATAATGATAAGATTAATTACCCACTGAGACGAGTATATGGAAGCCACCATGTCTAAATCTGGAAAGTTTATTAAAGTACGTATAACTTAAGAAATGGGATGTTTGTAACAGTTTTCAAAACTTCTATCAGAATTCATCATTAAATGAACTTTACCTTTTGTCCTATGTTTGTCCAATGCTGTATGTAAATTGTAATGTATTTGTAACACATCTTAAAGGACAATAACAAACCCTCTCTCTAAAGGCAGGCCTTTCCTCCTCCTCTCCCTAATGAGGCCTACAGTTTGATCATACACTTAAAGTTCACACCAGGACAACAAAAGTACAAAGGAATGCGTTCAACTTAAAAGTAGGACATTAAAAAAAACAGCACACACACTCAGTTTTTCAGTAATCTGTAGGGAAAGGATCTGTGTTTGAAGCTCACCTATCCTCTTCTCTGAGTACTCTGAGTGCCACAGAATACAGTGGTGCCACTGGCGAGTCAGTGATGGAATTTGAGCCTCTCTGCTTTTCTCTGTATTGCAGCATCCATCTTTATGGCTTAATAGTTCTGCAGCATTGAGTTTCAGCAGGGAAGCCATTCCCCACTTGTGTGAGTCCTAGTGTCTTCCTAAGCCTCCCTTGCTTTGTGAAGCCAATATTTAGAAAACCCTAGCAAACTAACACCTGCTAAACATAAATCACATGCAGAAATCTACAACTGGACAAGCTTGGAAAGAAAGAATAGATCAACTCCATGAAGAACCTCACAGTGAATTAAGAAAACCTTAAACTTAATCCTGTAACCTGACAAGCAGTCAGCCGCCTGACTTATGGAGAACTGTAGCATGGGAATTAGACTGAACGCCAGATGGCTTCTAGGACTCAAATTAAGAGAAAGGCAAACGGAAACAAAACTGATGTTGATGATAAACACAGGTAGGGAGCCTGACAAGGAAAATGTAGTAACAAAATAACACACAGGACTAACTAATATTTTATACCATATTCCCTTTCTTTTGTTTCTCCCAGCAAGCTTGACAGAAAGTAGTAATGTTTGACTAGTCACAGCCTAATACCAGATGCCAGTTTGAACAGGTGCAAAAACAAAGAACAGGATGCTACCATTTGGAACATCAGCTTTTCTCTTTATATATGCTCCATATGCTTGGTGGGAGCTCACCTACTACGTTTCTTATTGTTATTTCCTTGACTAGGAGAAGTTCTACTTGACAACAACATGGCATTTTCCCTTTGTAAACTGGAAAAAGTGAAATGACCAGTTAGTTTTTCTGGGACCTATTATAATTTCCACAGCCCACCATTATGAAATGCCAGAGGGCTGAGATCGCCCTGGAAGAAAGAGACTGTCCCCTGTATTATTACACAGTGGTGAAGCACTGCAGCGTTCTTCCACTGGAGAAAGAGAGTGGCAATTGGCATTGCCAATTATCAATGTTAAATGCATGATCAATTGAGCAGGGGCTCAACAAACAGGCAGCTTGTTCCACACAGTTGCTTGGTAAATTGGATGCAGGCAGACAGAGGAGCACAATCTCTCTCCTCTGTAGGTGGTCTCTGTTCATTAGGTTTCCAATTGATGTTGCTGCACAGTAATCCAAAAATGTGTGATGGGAACATCACTCTCATTTTTCATTAGCACTCCTTCACAAATGGACTAGAGGCAGGTACAAAACAAAGATTTTGCCAGGCTTACTTTTATCCTTTTGGAGACTATTGAGTATCCAACATCACTGCTGGGAACTTAGTTTCTCCTCATTTAGAGTCACTGTGGTGACTCATCACAGTTTGATATGATCAACTTCCTTAAGGATGCTGAGGAAATAGAGGGAGAGCGCTAATCTTCAAAAGAAAGTGATTTAGAAAAAAAAAATCAGCTTATATTTTATACTGAACAGTAACATGATCACACAAGTTATGTGGGAAAAGAAAAACAGAGATGAATCCTATTGTTTGGGGAATTTTATCAGAGATGTACCAAGTGTGAAGGGTTTTTTTTGAGACATCCTGGAGATGATCCTAACCGAATTCCTCATTTTCATTTCATAAACGATCGCACCTCTGGAAAGCAGGACCCGTGACTTATGCTGTCTTCTTTACAGACCGTGCTCAGACACAGTGTGCATATGGGTGCTGCTAAATATCAAGAGCTGCATAATTCAAATCCTTTGCATCCTTAAGCTTCTCTGTAAAAAGCTGTATAATTATACTACCTAGTGTACCCCCATGTGTGGCCTTTGGAGGATCTACTCAGCTTTGTTCCATGAGTAGCAGTGGTTCATTTTGTCATGGAAAGCATTGTCCGTTTCTGTTGGATTTTCAGAGACAAGAGGCATCATCTCTACTTTTCTTTCTACTACCTAATGGTAGCATTTACATTCTTATTGGCTTGAGAGCCTTTCTAATTCCCATCTAGTGAAAGAGCCAGCAATACCATGTTTGTATCGTGAAACTTCACCTCTCATAGAAGAACACAGCCACAAAAGAGGCGGACAACAGCTTCGTAGTCACTCAGTGCTTTTGTGTGACTCCAGACAATGGCTGCTGTCTTCATGCCTAACAATGAACTCTGTCTGTAACAATGAATTTTTCAGTTGTGGTGTGTATTAGTTACTTTTCTGTTGCTATGATAAAACACCACAACCCAAAGCAACTTACAAAATAAGGAGTTGATTTTGACTTAAAGTTTTAGAAGATAAGAGTCCATTATGGCTGAGGAGCATGGCAGCAAGAGGAAGACATGGTACCCAGAGCAGGAAGCTGAGTGCTCATATCCTTGAGCATAGGGGAAGCAGAGAGAGAGAGAGCAAAATGGCAGTCATGGGAGGCTTTACATTCTCAAAACCAGGCTTAGTTATACACCTCCTTCAATTGTGTCACACCTCCTAACCCTCTCCAAACAGCTCCACTGAAGGACCAAGTTTTCAAATGCCTTTGCTAGCCCCCACACAGTGCTTTCCAACATAAAGAAAGAAACTTAACACAAACTGAGTCATTTAGGAAAAGGGAACCTCAATTGGGAAAATGCTCCCACTAAATTGATGTGTGAACAACCCTGTGGTGTGTTTTCTGAGTTAGTGATTGATGTGGCAGGGCCAGCTTACTTAGCTAGCAGTCTTGCATGCTGTAAGAAATCAGGCTGAGCAAGCCATGAGGAGTAGGCCAGTAAGCATCATTCCTCCATGACTTCTGCTCAGTTCCTACCTCCAGGTTCCTGCCTTCAATTCCTGCCCTGACTTCCCTTTTTGATGGTTGGTGACCAGGACATGTAAACTGAAATAAACTTTTTCTTTCATAAGTTGCTTTTCATCACGGTCTGTCATCACGACAACAGAAAACCTAAGACAGAAGCCAGTCTGTGTAGAACCCCTGGAGCACTTCTGGCTGGTAAGACCTAAGCTCTTCCCCTCTGCTCTTGCTGAAACACATCTTTCTTCCTGTGTTTCTAGAAATTCCTTTGGCTAATAAGTAGGGAAACACGGTGTTTCCATCATCAGCTTTCACATGTACATAGAATGTTGAATCTCATCTTTTTTCTTTTATTATTATTATTATTATTATTATTATTATTATTATTATTATTATCACTTACCTAGCTATGAATCTCAAGGAAAATAAACAATTCTAAAAAGAACACTTTATTTTATACTTTACTTATATAAAAATATGTATATACAAATATAGATTATATATTCACAACTTGTATATTCAATAAAATATATGTATGTATGTATGTATACATATCTATGTTTATCTAATTAAGTTGCCAATGAGTGTTGTACTTCTTCCTTTACCACAAATTTAAGGAGGAAAGTTATACTATCTATGGTGAGTCATCTTGATTTTACTTTAAGAGCATTAAGTCCCCCTCATCAAAAGACGATAGCATATTTCTTATAGTAAGGATAAAGGAGAAAAAGGTAATTAAACAATCAAAGCAGATGCTGACTGTGTTAGTGTATCACACACCACTACACATATCTCAGTCACTTTTGTAAACTTCGTGTCTTCCTAAAGTCTCTTATCAAGTTGTCAGCTATACATACACAGACTTCAAGTTTCTCACCTTGCTTAATATTTAGTGTGTTAGAGCTACTCAGTTTCCTTGGGAAAACATCTTCTTAATTCCTATAATACAAATATTGTTTCTGATAAGATTGATGATATCATTGTGTTTGATGTCATATAAGAGTGTTTTTAGTTTACCTTCCTGAAGTCATGCTAGCAGTCAGGCTAGCTAGTTATGCATGCTAGCAGAACTGTGGTGGGATAATGTTCAAATCATATCTCTTCTGTTCAAGTGAAGAATCTGATGGTTGTCACCACAGTGAGCCTTGTCTACTAAACCCTGTTCTCATTAGTGGGTCTCTCTAGCAGGACAGTCCCTCCTCACTCACCTTCCTCAGTCACTTAGAAGACAGGCCTAAATCAAGTACTTTTAAATTTTGACTTCTGTGTTGACTAGAACCTCAGAAATCATGGACCATCCTTTGAAAAAAGATGAATGTATTATTCAGATCGCAAAGGGTTGGGTACGGCTATGATGTCTTGATGAAAAGATAGGGTTTCCCACAAGAAATCTATGCCTCTTATAGCCGTGACAAAGTGTGGAGAGGTACAAACCGAAAAGGGGATGTTACCACACCACTCAGCATACCACGTGACATCCGTGAAATGAAAACAAGGACCACAGCAAACCAAAAGACTCAACTCAGTAATACTTAAAGTAAAGGAAACATCACCGGGTTGAGAAAACCTGAGCTGTTACCCAGCCGCACACCTCAGGAACTTTCCGTTTCTGCCCCTGGGAAGCTCCCTGTGGGTTCCAGGGAGGGTCTTACCCCAATCCTGCTTCCAGCCCATGCTGGCACAAGGCTCTTCCCCTCAGTGGTCTCCCTGCTTACTCTCTAATTTAAAAAGAATTCCTTTCCTAATGTCCCTCCTGAAACTGGGAATGAGGGCACTTTTCCTTAAAACCATGGGTCATGTCAAGAAGATACATCTTTTCCTGATTTAAACTAACAACTTCTGGTTTCTGACAGGCTGGAGAATCTGGGCAGTTACCCAGTATTTGTACATTAGAGAAATAGAACTTTCAGATTAGATCTCACAAGTGCCAGTGTATGTTGGTTTAATGCCTACTATTTCATTCACA